TGAGCATGTTGATCTTTTGAACCAAGATTGGCACAAAATATGCCCAAAGCGAGAGGATTAATCAGGGGTACATGCTGAGGTGAAATCGTCTACAGCTGTTAGACCTCTTAGAAGGAAGAAGCAGAGTCAACTTCACCTGGCTCAGAGGCAGTCACGAAGACGTAATTAACAAGGGGAGAAGCAGGGTATGCTTTTGTTCATTATTATACAGTGACAGGCTTTCTGCTCCCGTAAAGAAAGCCTCAGAAACCCTATTCAGGGTCGCTATGAGTTGGAACCGAATCCATAGCACACCACCACCACCATACCCTAACATCGATAGTAAGCAAAAGCATATCTTGCTCACTATTATACCCTATTATACACTGGAGTCCTGGTGTGGTGCTGTAGGATAAGCTCTGCAGAGCAAGGTTTGTTTGAACGGCACGGTCGGCAGTTCAAACTCACCAGACATTCCTCGGAAGCCCATTGGTGGCGGTGGTGGTGGTGATGCTGGTGGTGATGGTGTGCTGTGGGGTCGGTTCTGACTCAGAGCGACCCTGTACAGGGAGCAGAAAGCTTCATCTTTCTCCTGCAGAACAGCTGGTGGTTTCCAACTGCTGACCTTGAGGTTAGCGGCGGACTCATAACCTCTACGCTATCAGAGCTCCTTAGGAAGCCCTATAGAGAGTTGCTATGAGTCATAACCGACTCGATGGCACTTAACAACAACAACAACAACAACATAACCTAATGCTGCTTAGTCATATTTGTAGAATTGAATTGAATATTACTTTCTTATAACAAACATTTGCAAGTTAATGGCTATTAATGAGTCTGTGTAACTACTGTGAGTCTGAGCTATACAAGTAATTTCTATAAGTTACACATAAATGTTAATACACATTATCTGATTAGTACACTTACCTCTACGGGCTTTCTTCTTATGTAATGGCAGTTTAGGGAGCTTGGGAGGTAAGGGTCTTCGAAGAAGTGTTGGTTGTTTTTTCATTTTAATTATTAATTAAAGTGCTGTTTTTCATAACTATTAAGTGAGAATTTAAAAAGATTAATGAGTTTGAATATTTACTGAAAAATAATTCATTAGAATCTAGATTACATCTTAATGACAATCTTTCTGAGTCAATCCTCTACTGACTCCAAGCAAAATCCTTTATAAGATAGATAGTAAAATGTAATTCTTAATAGCTTCTAGAAATCTAGAAATAATTCATATAAAATTTAGGTTTGTAATTGATACAGAATTTAAAAATATACAAGTGTGAGTCACAAGGGTGAGTGTACATGTGAAATGATGTTGTCGAATAGATAAGTGGCAGTGGATTATGTGACAAATCATTTGCAAATCAGCCATGGCTCTGCCTATGAAATAATCCACGACAGACTTGGGTTTCTGAAAGTTTGTGTGAGATGGGTACCAAAAATCAAAGAAGAGCACAGACAGAAGTGTTTAGGCAACTGCAAACAAAATTTGGACCAATACTTAAAGGAAGGCAAAAATTTCATTCAGAAAATGGTTAACTATTTTGACATTTTCATTCAGTAAATAGTTAACATCATGAGAAGACATGAATTCATCACTATGATTCTGAGAGTAAACATTAGAGTATGGAATGGAAACATCCTCAATTGCTGACCAAGAAAAGTTCAAAGTCAACCATCAGCTGGGAAAGTGATGTTTACACTTTTTTAAGATTCTCAAGGGCCAGTATTGGAAGACTGTCAGGATAAAGAGTCAGCAATCAACAGTGATCCTTACGGTGAGATGCTCACCAAAGAACTGAAGCCTAAACTTTGGATTAAATGCAAAGGACTGCTATCTAAGGGCATTGTGATCTAGCATGACAAGGCACGTCCACACACCTCTGCCTACACTGTTGAGACTCTGCAAAAACTTCATTTTAAGGCGTTACAGCATCCTTCCTATAGTCCTGATCTTACTCCATGTGACTTTCACCTGTTTGGTCCCCTGAAAGAAGCCCTTCGAGTACGAGAATTTACTTCTGATGAAGAATAGCAGTGCATTCATGGCTCAAGGCTCAGGCTAAAACATTTTTTAATAAGGGGATATGAAAGCTTGTTGACAGATGGGCAAAGTGTATGGCAAAACATGGAGATTATGTTTAAAAATGATGTATTTGTCTTTTCTAAAAAGTTGATTAAAATAAATTCTACATCCAGAACAATTTTTTACTCACCCGAGTATATATAAACAAAAGATGTGGCAGTCTGTTTCCATAAAGATTTATAGCCTTGGAAATCCTATTAAGTAGTTTTACTTTGTGCTCTGGTAGCATAGTGATTACGAATCGGGCTGCGAACCTCAAGGTCAGCAGTTCAAAACTACCAGCTGTTCCACAGGAGAAAGATGAGGCTTTCTGCTCCTGTAAAGATTTGCAGCCTCAGAAAGCCTGTACATGGAGTTGGAACTGATTCCATGGTATATAACAACAACAATAGAGTCCTAGTGTGGGGATGCAGGATAAGCACTAGACTACAAGGTCGGTTTGAACAAGGTCAGCTGTACAAACCCACCGCCACTCCTTAGAAACCCTAGGTGTATTTTTTGTTTTTAAAATATAACTTTTTTGTGTCTTAAAATATGAGCACTGGTGTGGTGCTGTAGGATAAGCACTGGACTTCTAACTGCACTAGCCACAAGGTCAGCAGCTCAAACCCACCAGCTGCTCTCAGAAACCCTATAAAGTTTCCCCAAGACCAGTCTAAAATCTCCCATGTTACTAAAACATTCAATCTGCCAACATTATTTCAGCTGGTAAATATTGATTTCCCAGAATAGTCTAAATAACCACCACTACCACCCCCTTTATTCCAAAAGATGTCAGCTTGAGGACTAAGGTG